ATAAGAGCAGTATTCCAAGTTAGGACGAATGAATCCCTTATATACTTAAAGCAACTGCTCAGGAGTGAAGTAGCTATGGCATCTATACAGTATTCCCAACTTTCGGGAGGCAGCTTTAGCTATGTTAAGGATGTGTCATTTCCATGACATATTGGAGGAAATGGTGAGGCCTAGCATATCTATTTCAAAATTTGGCAGAATGATAGCGTCCTGCAATGTAATTGGTGGGAGATCAACTAATTTTGAAAGTGTAATTGGTAAATACTGAGTTTTATTACTATTGAATTTAACCAAGTTTCTACCTCCCCATTTAGAGATGCTGCACAGATCCGCATTGATAGAAGTAATGATATCAGCTCTAGAAACAGATATAGTTTGAGAGTTAGGAGGAAGGGGAAAATGTGAAGAAGGATGAAGAGTAGAATCATCAGCGTAAGAATGGATAGAATTAGTTGTAGTGTGAAGTAAATCATTGATAAAAAGAAGGAAGAGAGTAGGTGAAAGAACAGAACCCTGTGGGACACCACTATTGGTAGAGAAAGAGCGAGAGATAGATCCCTCGACAACAACTGCCATGGATCGGTTCTCAAGGAAGCTAAAGATTAGAAAACAAAGTGGGGGAGAGAAACCATAAGGGGGAAGTTTCGAAAGCAAAGATTTGTGCCATACTCTGTCAAATGCTTTGGAGATGTCGAGGGCCACGACAAAAGTTTCCTCATAATCCCTAAGAGACGATGACCAAAGATTGGGTACAATAGGAGAGCAGATCACCAGTAGATCTCGCCTGGTGAAAGCCATACTGGTGATCCAACAAAAGAGAAAGGCGTTCAAGGTGACGGAGAAAATGGGAGTTCAAGATAGTTTCGAAAATCTTCGAGAGGGATGAAGTTAGGGCAATGGGGCGATAGTTAGGGGGATTAGAATGGTCACCCTTCTTCAGGATGGGCTGAACCAGGGCATGCTTCCAAGAAGAAGGAAAAGTTTGGGTTTTGAGGCAAAGGCGAGCAAGCACAGGGTCCAGAGCTTCAGCACACTCCCTCAGAACACGAGGGGGTATTCCGTCCGGTCCATGCGCCTTACTCACATCCAACCTGGATAACACACCGGCAACCCTGCAAGTAGAGATTATAGGAAAGTGCATAGGTTCAGTAGGAGGAGCAGGGGTAGGAGGGATAGAGTTGGAATCGTCTAAGGTGGAATTAGAGGAGAATAAGGTGCCAAAGAGATTGTCTTTTGTCAGAGTGAGAGTTGGCTGTAGAGTTATCAGGTCGGAAGAGAGGAGGAAAAGGAGTGCAGAAGTTATTACAGATGTTTTTGGTTAAGGACCAGAAGGATTTACTAGAGGAAGAATTAGTCAGGACAGCGGTCTTTCTTTTAATAAAATTCCGTTTGGCCCTACGAAGAATAGCCTTACAACGATTCTTAGGAGTAATGAAAGAGAGCAGGAGCGATCAAACCATGATTGTCAAGTGAAAGTTTTGGTAGACGATGGGATAAATACACTCATACTACCTTGTATAACCCCAGCAATGCTGTCAGCACATACCGAGGCGTCCCGAGTGGAAAAGCAACATTCATCCCAAGGAAAGTCAGTGAAGAATTCTCGCAAGGATTGCCAGCTTGCCCTCCGATAGTGCCATAGTTAACGTTTAGAGGGGGGTGGGGGAGGTGGTCGTGCCTAGTTTGATTTAATAGAAATAAGATTGTAATCAGAAGACACTAAGGGGGCAGAAATTGGGTATGAATAGTGTGAGGGGTTAAAGGTAAAACAAAGATCAAGAATGTTAGCAAGTTGATCGTGTCGATCAGAAACACGTGTAGGGTGTTTGATTATTTGTTCCAAATCATTAAGTAGGGAAAAAGAAGTCTCAGCTCCACCTGGGTCATCCCTTGCAGAGCCAAGCCACTCTCTGTGATGTACATTGAAATCCACTAGGTAGAGGATCTCGGTGTTGGGGTGTGTAGATAGCAACGACTCATGGCAAGAAGCGAGATAGTCAAAGAGTTCGAAATAGTTGGTAGAGTTGGGAGAACAGTATAGGAAACAAAGAAAATAGTCACAGTTGGTAGAGATATTTTGAGCCAGATGACATTATAAAGGGAAGATTCAAGATCCGTGAGTCGAGCTATGGGTGTACGTGTGTTGCAGTAGGCGCATACACCTCCCTTAGAATGGAATGAGGTATAAAGGTTGTAGTTGGAGACCTGAAAAGGTTTAGGTGAAGCTGCGTTGGTCAGTTGAAGTTCGGAAAGTAGTAAAAGGTCGGGGGAAGAGGTTAATAGATGGTGTTCCATAGAAGGAAAATTGGATCTCAGGCCGCGAATGTTAGAAAAATGAAGTGTGAAAAAAGACGATCCTCCAGCAACCGCGGTGGCGTCAGTTGAGGCCCCGGTAACTTGATGCTGATCGGGTCGGCCCTGGGGTCCACAACCTTCCCGACCAGTGGGACCCATCCGAGAAGGCCCCGCTTCAATATTAATATCAACTGACATAGGAGAATACGATTATATTTGTTGTGTTGTCAATAGTAAGAGAGACAATTGAGACCCTGCAATTGTGTGTAAATGAGGCAGAAAGTCAGATCAGCAACCTGGGACTTGGTCACAATTTTCGTAATGCCATATGGCAGCAGGGTCTACCATTAGACAATATATTATGCTTCCAATATCCTCCCAGGCAGTAGTACCTCTCTGTTTGGTAGCTGCCTACTACCTATTAACCAGGCCTGCCCTTTTTATTCAAATAGGCCTGCGAAAGATCAAAACGTCATGTGACGTGACCTGAAGCCTAGAGATTAAGACTGGTCTACCCTGGGAGTTGTATACTGACAACTTATTGCTGATAGCAGATAGTATTGCAGAGGTAATGGAAAGTTTAAGAATTGAAAGGGTATAATGGCAAATGTGGAAAAAACAAAAGTACTGATTAGTGGAGTGAAGGACCTGTGGTGAAAAGATGAAAATGGTTATGTGCTGTCTATAAGGAAGGTGTTGGCAGCAACTCAATTATATGCAGGGAGTATGGAAGGTGGATACACAAGAGATGCATTGGTGTAAATAGCAGACTGAAGAATGCTGCTGACTTTAACCCTTATGCCTCGGGCGATGTTAAGACCTGCTGAACCCTTCACGTGGGTATATTTTGGCAATATTTTTCCCCCATAAAATCCACTGTCGATAACCAGTATTTCAGGCATAAAATTAGTGCAGTCACTCCAACCGTACTGTTGTGGCTGGCGTACATGTGGTCCCCTACAACCACAGCCACCACAACCTCACTGGGGGGTGGCTGTTGGGGTGGGGAGGAGGAGTGAGCGCCATTGTATGTGTCACTGTCCTCACTGCTGACCACCTCAACAAACTCAACATCATCTGGGTCGGTTTCCTCCCCATCATTGTCTTTGTCACCTGATACTACAGTACTGTATATCATTGCCACTGAAATCAAGCAACTCTTGATGAATAGCAATACCATTGAGGGTGTGTGGAGAAGTGAGGAGGGTGAAGAGATATGCATCCATCATGATAGCTAGTGGATAAGTGGACTACTAGACATGAGACAAAATTTATGTGCAAGTTGAGTTGCCAAGAAAATAGATATCCTAAACAAAGTACTTCTTCCTGCCTGCAATCAAACTATGCCATGAAAATTAAGGACGTAGAGGAACTTCACCTGGGGTCGCTATGGTAGAAGGTAGAGGAATATCACCCGGGCTTTAAGGGTTAAGTGTGCTGTACAGTATATGCAGGTACTCATGTGAGGATATATCCCTGGACTGTGTTAATGAGATCTGATACCTCAGTGACATGATCAGTGTTGGAGGTGTGCCAAAGGTAGCTCAGTTGCAACAGTTGAAAGTGACTGGAGGAAGTTTAGGGAATTGCTGCCTTTAAGTGAAAGTTGTATCCAACTGGTGTGAGAAGTGTGATGTGTGGTAGTGCAACATGGCTAGTAAACTCTTTAGAGGGCAGGGGTTTCTCTCAGCTGAATAAAATCATCTGGCATAAGCCAGAACAAAATCCCTACAGTAAGTGCACTGCTGCCCTCTAAAGGGTTAAAAAGGATGAAATATACAGTACTATACTGTAGGCTTGAGCAAGCTGATATTAAAATGGTGAGATGTAATGTGACAGAAAAATAGGAAACCCTGTTCAGAGCTAAGAGGGTATCTGGGTATTGAGAGTATTGGAAAGATTTTTCGTATAGGTAGGCTGAGTTTGTTTGGGCATGTGGAGAAAATGGAGACCAACTGGGACAAGAAATGTCTGAGTTTGAAAGCGGAGGGGAGGATAGTTAAGGGCTAAGAATGACATAGGGAGAGGTCGTAAGAAATGACCCGGGAGACAAAAATCTGATGAGAGAGGCTGCAAGACACTATGCAGCATGGAGATTTGCCATCAGGTAATTGCAGCTAACCCACACAAGCTTGGAAAATAGTTGTAAAACAGTGATGATGTATCAGTGTAACTGTTAATGAATTTCTCATATTTCCTATCGTTTTCACACCTTTGCTAATACCTGTATTTATTCTATTTCGACTTTCCAGGAATTGTTTTTATCATTCAATACATGAAACATGTTTCACAACCTTTGAACTTTGTCTCACACACACAACTTGTCAGAATCTCCCTTCCTAAAATATGTTGCATCGGTCTACCTACAGACTTGGTTCATTGTTATACTCAAGTTTGTCATATGAATCATAATGCCTATCACTAACAATTCCAGACAATTTGCACCAAAGCTCATATGCACCACTGTTCCAAATGTTTTGCTAAACTTGAAATACCGAATCCCCAGCACTAATCTAACCCTTACACTCGCCTTAATAACAATCAGATACAAAGGGCCTCTTCTTTAGTGTCTGATTACCAAGACAGTTTTATAATTCGGATCATATCCTGAAGTAAAATATTTAAAAGTAAAGACATCCCAAATTCAGAGTACAGTATATCTAAAACAAGCCTGAATTCAGCTTTACAATTCTACTTTTGAGCAGCAGTGGGCGTTTGCCACCAATCAGTGCAGACATTAGACGAAATAAAGATATTACTGGAGGCTCCTTGCTGCTTGGCTCCTCCGAGTCTCCAGAACTACTCAACCGCAGGCCAAGACACCGCATGCATGCTTCTACTAAGGTGAGCTACATTACACACTGCTGTATCAGTTAAGTCTTGGTAGCCTTTGTCTCGAATGCAAATGGATCCATATATCCTCCACTTTATTAATACTGTATTTTCAAGGCCATTACTCATGTGACAAAGATGTGAACTCTTCAATTACTTTCATTCTTTTTTTGTCACATTGTATTTATATTTAAACACACAAGAGTCTAATCCCCCAAACCACAATAATATCTCCGTTAGCCAGAATCCCTCTTTACTGGAAGTCTCTGATAGCCGGAATTGAAATTTTCTGAAGGGCACATTTTCTGGAAAATTCCCGGGATGGGGGATTTTTTTCTGGGTTTGAGATATGAAAATCAGGCGTATTTTCTGTTAATTCTGAGAAAAATTTTCCGGTACCCAGAAAATTCCAGGGATGAGGGATTTTTTACAGCTTTGAGAAATGAAATAATTGCATCATTCAGGAAAATTCTGGTACCCGGAAAAATTCCAGGGATGGGGTATTCTTTCCGGGGTCGAGAGATGATGTTATGTGCAATTTCAGGAACTTTGGAGAAAATTTTCCGGTATCTGGAAAATTCTGGGGAAGAGGGATTTTTTCCAGCTTTGAGAGTCATCTCATTACCCGAAAATCACTCATTCCCGGAAGTGCTCTGCACCATTTGTTCCGGCTAACGGAGATATATTTTTAATCCTTTTTGATATCACAGTAGTGTTTCTCCCTGTAATTTCATCTATTATTTTACCAGATAATTCCTTGTTTTTGTTTTTCAGATTTGCATGTCCCTTATATTACAATACAGTAAACCCCAGATATAACGGACACTGACCTGTTCAGACTAGGTTCATATTAAAGTAAAAAAATACACTCAGATCCATAATACTGTAATTGAAAAATATGGAGTTGGGGCCATTCGTATCCAAATTATCACAAATAATTACAGTAATACCCCATTTAGCGCTACCCTGCATAACGCTGATTTGTTATAGAGCTCTTTGGTCCTCTCCTAGTTATTTTTTTCAAGGAAAAAATGATGAAAGTCCATAATTCAAGGCAGAAGTTACAAGACAACACTTGGGACTCACCGACAGCGGCCATGCTTGTTTACATTCTCTCCGCCAATGAAAGCAACATATTCATGTATGCTTGCAGCCAATCGGCACTCTCCTCCTTGTGTAAATATTTTTCCCTGTAGCAGTTGACTTACTCGACACGCTCACTCTTTATACGACTGATTTCCGTATATTTTAGTGAATATTTGAAACCCCGTTACTGTATATGAAAATCCATAATACGTACAAGTCAGCTGTTCGCTTGCTCCTGGCAGTGCAGGTGTCATTATTACACATAATTCCCCCCCTGCAGGCTGCCACTCCATCGCCCCAGTTTGAACGCGTTCACATCTTGTAAACACCAGCTTGTGGTGGTGATTGTTGGTAATAGTGGCGAGTGTTGGTGGTTGAGGTAGTGATTGTTGGTGGTGGTGATGAGTATTGGTGGTGGAGTATTGGTGGTGGGTGTTGGTGGTGGTGTGTGTTGGTGAGCGTATTGGTGGTGGCGAGTTGTTGTTGGTGGTGGTGAGTGTTGTTTGTGGTGGTGAGTATTGGTGGTAATGATGAGTGTTGGTGAAAAGTGATAAACGTGGTCACTTCATACTATGTTGGTACATAATGGATCGAGTCCATTATTATTCCGGATCCAGATGTAACAGTCTTTTGTCTTCAACAGACTGGTCTTCCTTCCCAATTAGTCCATTATATTGGGGGTTTACTGTATGTGTACTTACGATTTCTCAAATGTAAAATGTTCTAACTATTGTGCTATAAACACTGGTAAGATTTTTTAAAACAGTAAAGTGCATATAGTTGCTAGTGCCATTATAGGCAGTAATGATGCATACCAATTTAATAGGAGGGCGTTGAAGAGAGGCGAATGGGTAGGGTAAGACGAAACCGTCGTTCACCTCGACCGTGTACAGAAGATGGATTCTTGAACACCCCACGCTGCACACCAACACCTAGTCCATCCACCACACCTGAACCTCATGTACACAGGTCAGATCCTGATGGTGATGCCTTAGAGACTAGTGTGAGACACCCAGGCCATACTGATCATAGGCGAAGGCAGCGATTGGCTGCTTCATTGCGTGATGCGAGACGTAATGTCAGCAAAGAGGATGGTCATGAGGAAGAAATTAATGAAGATCAAGGTACAGCAAGTGGTGACATGGTATCCTCTGGCACTCGAGAATTTTCTCTAATAGAACACTATCCCCCTCGGGAACGAGTCACACTCAACGGAGGTTCAAGTGGAGGGTCAGACACTGGTAGTGGGACATCCCCTCCCCCAACAAAACCAGTTGTACCCCTCAATGATACTTCTCGTCTCTCACATCTAGATTCTCCCCTGCTCGTCCGAGGGGCTCCAAAGAGACACAACACAGTCATAGCTGCTGATCTAAGGACATTTTCAAGTCTCTCCAAACTGGACTCTACCAATTCCCCCATACCTACACGGAGTGCTATTACGCCTTGAGGCCTCCATTTGTCCCCCTTTTCCCTAGCACCCAATTTTTTTTTAAACAATAATCTTTTATTCACATTATTCCTCGATTTTTTTATCTTTGAAATCATCAAAATGTAGATTACATGTAATGGTGGCTTGTTTGATATTGTCAACACTTGAGTACAGTACTATAGTAGTTCTTTAACATCAGCTTCTGAATTGTACACTAGTTAATGCACAGACCCATGAAATTTGTTATAGATAAAAGAACCATTATTTATCAACTGAAAAATATGTACAGTTCATTATCTAATTTTATCTTACCGTACGTTAATCTGACCTTTAATGTGTAATGACTTTTTCCTGTGCAATTTTCACAGTTGATGTCTCATTCGCTAATGGAAACACAGCATTTGAGTAAAGCTTAATACAGTAGTAGTATTTTGTTATTTCTTACAGGTATTCTATTAAACAGTCAATTAAACTACCAGTAATAGAAGTTTACATCACATTTATAAGCTAAACGTAACTCCAAGAATATAGGACTGTGATGTTACATTGTCATTAGTCAATATTTTACTTTCTTGCTGATGAATCCTTTGGCATCCATCATTGTCAACCTCCTTACCAGAGTTCTATATTGAATTAGGGTTACTAATTTTATAGAACTCAAAAATAACCTGTTAAAATGTTTAGTGGTTCTACTCAGAATTAGGGAAGGCTAATTCAGTAGAGTCAGAGATTATCATTTCATTAAGGAGGCATCACACTACTTGAGCACCTAAACTGGCAAATTGTCAAACTAGCAAGCAAATCTAGCACTACAATTCCTTCTAGCTATGCTCAAAGTGGTCACACGAAGATACAATAGACAAATTTCAGCATCATACAAACACAACCTATCAATCAATCAATCAATCAATAAATATATATATATATATATATATATATATATATATATATATATATATATATATATATATATATATATATATATATATATATATATATATATATATATATATATATATATATATATATATATATATATATATATACCCAAGTAAATCACTATGGTGCGCGTGATCCCAGGTATATGCTGATAACCACAAGGAAAAACTTGCAAGAAGTTCCCAAAGCGCTTTCGTGCCCAAATTCATCTTCAGGGGTAATTACAGACTAAGGAGAAGGACAAAACAGGGTGTATATATACCAGAGGAGGGTGAGATCAGGTCCACACTGGTCCGGTATTAGTAATATTTCTAATCTTTTAAAAGCACCTGCTGGTCGTATAGTCAGGTCCAGAGGTAAGATATTAACCTTCTCTCCTGGTTAAATTTTCTTAATTACAAATTGTCCAGTTTGTACATGCCATTACTCAAATCCATATTGACTGCTTCGGTATGTTTAATGAGACTAGATTCTATAATGCTCTATGTCGAATTGAATTACGAGGTAATATTGAGGAGGCATTATCCCAATCAATACAATGCTTGTTATCCTCAAATGAACAAACAGAGCATTGGATTCTAACCTGTCCTAACACTGTATTTGTGTTGTTTTTAAGTCTAGTTACAAGATCTTTACCTGTCTGGCCTAAGTAAAATATATTACATTCCTTGCGAGAACATATAAATGCAACCGGGTATTGTTGTTGTTGGGGGAGTTCTTGATTAACATTTGTTAACAGTGCATGAGTTTTTAAATGCCGTGACGTTTCCAGGTTTTTAGTTGTAAAATTTGAGAGAATTTTTTGTGATAGAATACTAAAGAGACTATATATGGTCATGGGTGGGCTTGGGATCGATTCTACAAAGATTTCTTTGTAATGTTCAGACATTTGTCTATAGAAAAGATCTAGGTATTTAAAGGTTTGAGCCAATATTATGAATATATTTATATTCCTCATCAATGAATTCCGGGCTGCAAATTCTCAAAGCACTTGTTGAAAATACTGACTGTTTGACGACTCTATTATGGTGGGCAGAATAATAATGAATGTATGAACACATATTATTAGGTTTCTATAAATACTGAACTTAAAGGTGTTACACCTATTCTGTGTATCAAACAGTCGGAATGAAATTTACAGTCTTGCTCCTATTAATTCACAGTGAATTTGATCAGGGCTAAGTTATTGGTTGTAGGAAAGCTTTTGGGTCTCATTACTTGGCCAGAGACAAATACATCATCTACATATATAAACCAGACTGCTGAAGGTGGTAAAATATTACTTCATAGTTTCTTTTCAAAAGAATTCCCTTATATAGGTTGCTTATGCAGGTGAGTGGATTACCCATTGCCGCCACCAAATTTTTTAGCATAATATTCTCCATTGAATTGGAAATTTACAATCATGTACATAGTTTGATAAGTTTGATGAAGTCGTCTTTCGAGACGAACGTAAGTATCAGGGAATCTATAAGGAACTCTAGTAAATCATCAACTGGGACCTTTGTAAGAGTGATGTTACATCAAAACTGACCAGTTTAAAATCATAATTAATATGTAAGTTGTGAGTTTATCAACCAAATCCATATTATTCTTGATATTAGAGTTGAAATGTTGCCAACTAGGGGATTTAGTAAAAGAAACTAACCATTTAGATAGTATATAAGAGATTGACCCAACTGAGCTAATGAAGGGTCTTGCTGGGTTGTGAGCTTGTAGATTATTGATTAAACCGTACATGTATGGCAGTGGAGAGGGACGTTGATAGGAATCTTTTAATGAGGAGTAGCTGCCTCTCAATAGAGACTAAGTTTTTTGTTGAACTGGGTGTTGACAGTGTTGAGAGGATTATTTATATGAGTTTAGAATATGGTAATTATCACTAAAGTCATTCATTTTTAAGAATATAGTCATCTTTTGTTTAAAATCACTACTGTGTTGGCTTTATCTGCTTTAGTGACATGTAGATCCTTATTTTTTCTTAAGGGCTTGGATTGGCGGTGAATCTATCTGGACAGTTTGGGAACCTGAGGCTTAGACATGGATGCATACACAACACCTTTACACATGTTCCTTATTTGCTTGTCCAAATTGCTGAATTTCTCCAAATTACTGCAAAATACTCTGGCTATGTCAACACTCGTGTTTTCTTTTTCCTTGTGGTTATCAGCATATACCTGGATCACGCGCACCTACAGTGATTTACCCGCATATATATATATATATATATATATATATATATATATATATATATATATATATATATATATATATATATATATATATATATATATATATATATATATATAGTAAAACCTCGATTAACCGCCCACATATGGGGGAAGGGCCGACGGACAATTCGAAAGGTCGGTTAATAGTAAATAAAGTCTACGGAAATAAAACATACATTTTCAATGTACCTATCCCTAACCTACCTCATTTAAGTCCATCTATTCATTTGCCATTCATATTTCAATAGAATTTGCTTTAAAATATTAACCACTTTAGTAAATAAATATGAACCAGCACAGAAACCATGAATAAAAAATGGAAAAGTCAAAGAACATATGGCATACGAAAATTGTGACCAAGCCCCAGGTTGCCGATCTGACTTTCCTCCTCATTTACACACAATTGCTGGGTCTCAATTATTTCTCTTACTATTGACAACACAACATACATATAGGTATATTGTTTCTCACTTTTGATTTTTTTTTTTCGTTTTGCATTTCTTTATGGTTCATTATTATTATTATTACATTATCACCCCCCCCCAGGTACCACTATAGGTCAATGACCTGTGCTTGTTTGATGTGCCTTTATTCTCATAAGCACTAAAGACATTGTTTTTGGTTTTAATATGACTGTCACTCCATCATGTAAAATGTGTTTGTTGTGGTCAGTCCAGAAAGGTTTTATATGATTACTGATCATTAAAGTGCATCCCTGTCTAAAACTTAATAGATTTCTTCAAAACAGGACTTAATGCACTTAAGAGAATTTTCTTCTTTTGATAAACAACCAAACAGATATAGTACAGCATCCAGATGATACCAAACTTATTCTTGTTAAGTAGTGTAATGATTTCAGGAAAAATAAATAAATAATAAAGATGAAGACATTCCTCCTTGTACATAACCGAGAGAGCCTGGAATCACATTAACAAAATCTTGGGAAGTACTGTACTACTGCACAAAACTTAATATTATGATAACAATTGTGCTGTATAGATGTCACTTTTTAGAATAAAATGTATATGAAGGAAACCGTATATTTTTAAACACTTATCATATACTGTACTACACAATACCGTTCATTTCAGAATTGAAATCATAGCTGCAATATTTGGAAAGCAAAGTAAGTAATGAATCAATACTTTAAAAAAGTAAAGGAGTTTTATATCAATTATCACTTTCTGCTTGGGGCTACATTAGCTCCAGAGCATATAGTAGTGAATGTATTTCCAGGTCATTAATTACAATGGTTGAACCATACACTACACCCAGATTATCACTCAAGACAAAGCCATAGATATGGATCGTCTGTTTTAGTAACTGGAAAAGTTACAGCATCTGTATATTTGTATTTAATGTAGATATTAATTTCCAGTCGGACCAGAAGCAACAGTTTTGGCCCAACACAATAGACAATAAAAATGCAAATCCTAATTAGTACCAAGATATTCTTAATGTCTTTTTCAACAAATAGATGTTATACAGTATCTACTATATATTGTGAGACACACTTACTATTCTTGAAGGTAGCAGAAAAGAGGTGATGCCATGGTGCTGGGTTGACCATCAGGGCAGGAGGTACACTAAAGGAAGACCCAGACACTCCTAATGTGTAAATATTCCTAAATTAGAGTCCCGCTTGGGCCAAGACAGTCAGCAACTCACATTATACATTACTCACAAGAGAAGTTGCCATACATGCCACACAATTAAGATATGACTTACTCTGGTGTAAATATCGTCCGATATCCCCCCCGTGTCTGAAATTTCATAGGTGCACATACAACCCTCACCATCTATTATATGCTAATCACTAAGTCATCACTTTGGAAATTAAGAAGTAAATAAAGAAAAAATATCATTTATTATGAATTAACTGCATTAATACAGCAAGGGTACTTACAAAATAATAATTGGAGTAAATTCCTCAATATTGTGGATATTTTATTTAGAAACTTTATAATGAAATGCTGGGTGACCAAAAACATCTCCCTGAACATCTGCCAGACAAAACAATATTTCAATATACTGTATAATCAAAATCTCCTATCATCATCTTTGGAGACTATGGATTCTTCATAATGTCCAGTAATCACCATCTCGGTTAACCTCTGTAATTTTGGTCTAGCTATACCATATACCAAAAGAGAAAAATGAATCCATTAACTTTATTATTATTTTATTTTTTACTTTGGAAAAACGGAAGAAATAAACACAACAAAAATTATCCACAAAAACAAAAAACTGGACATTAAATATCACAACAAGGTAATGAAAAATGTACTCATAATTTATCCCATTGTAAATAATTATACACAAGCTAGCTATATATATATATATATATATATATATATATATATATATATATATATATATATATATATATATATATATATATATATATATATATATATATATATATATATATATATATATGTGTGTGTGTGTGTGTGTGTAAAAACATGTTAAGGAAAAACATTTCTGGTCACACAGGAAAAACTTCATCACAGATTAGCAATCCAGATTATGTTCAGAAAAGTATCACTGAACACCATTACTGTCAACTATTCCCAGTGTAGCCGCACATCATAAATAAAACACAATATAGCATGTGCTGGAAAAAGTCACTTCACCGTTTGACACCATTGAATCCATCACATCTGAGAGATTCCACTTCAAGACCAAGCAACATCTGACATGCGACATGCATGTAGAGCACCGTTTTATA